GGGCCCCCCTTAAGAGGCTCCGGGCGTGTCCTGCACATTCGTTAGGATGGTTTCCCTTAGGAAGTTGGCGAGCGCCAGGGCCTCCCTTAAGAGGCTCCGGGCGTGTCCTGCACATCCCTTAGGATGGTTTCCCTTAGGAAGTTGGCGAGTGTCAGGGCCCCCCTTAAGAGGCTCCAGGCGTGTCCTGCACATCCCTTAGGATTGTTTCCCTTAGGAAGTTGGCGAGCGCCAGGGCCCCCCTTAAGAGGCTCCGAGCGTATTCTGCACATCCCTTAGGATGGTTTCCCTTAGGAAGTTGGCGAGCCCCAGGGCCCCCCTTAAGAGGCTCCAGGCGTGTCCTGCACATCCCTTAGGATTGTTTCCCTTAGGCAGTTGGCGAGCGCCAGGGCCCCCCTTAAGAGGCTCCAGGCGTGTCCTGCACATCCCTTAGGATTGTTTCCCTTAGGGAGGTGGCGAGCGCCAGGGCCCCCCTTAAGAGGCTCCGAGCGTATTCTGCACATCCCTTAGGATGCCTTGGTCGTCGCCCTGCGTCTCCCTTAGGACGCTTTTTACGGGTTGCGTCTCCCGAAGGACGCTTTGGTCGTCGCCTTGCGTCTCCCTTAGGATGCTACTTGTGGGCAACTGCGTGTCTATCCTGCCTCCCTTAGAAAACGGATAGGGACCTGGATACTTCCCGCAGAAGGCATGGAGACCTCCTTTTAAGAAATTCCTGGCTCACCTTGCGTCTCCTTTAGGACGCTTTTTACGGGTTGCGTTTCCCGAAGGACGCTTTGGTCGTCGCCCTGCGTCTCCCTTAGGACGCTGCTTATGGGCAACTGTTTGTGTTTTGTAGGCAGATAAGACATTTTGGAATGAGAAACTGAACTTATATAGATATTCATAAGATTACAGTCCTTTATTCGAAAATGAAAATAAAACTATTATCTTGCTACTTATTGGGTAATGTTTTGCATAGATTGTTGAGGATGTCAGTGTGAATTTATTTTACTTTACTCCATTTTGAGTAATGTTTTAAATTGTTCATTGATGATGATAATGAGTATGAGTCTATTTCTCTACTTGTAATTCTCTTGTTGTTGTTGGTTTTTCTTTTTTGTTCTACTTTTAGGGGGATTTTGAATAGTGTTATATGATAAACGAGGTTCGAGTTTGCCATAACAATTTAGGAGATTAGAATAGCTATATCATAAGTAGAGAATCAGTAAATCTCGTAGATGTAGTGGTATGGAGAAGTTTGTATGGTCGGATGAAGATTGGTGAATGGTTGATTAATTTGGTGTCAGAGATTTTTTAGATGATACATGGCCTTTTCACGTCACTTGTTACCTCATCTACTTTTTCTTTTTCTTTTACAAAATAATAAATGATTATTTTGATTATGACGTCTTTGTTAGGAAACTGTTTAAACTTCCTCTTCTGTTGAAGCTATAGTCTCGGTTGAAGTATGCTTATGAATTTGGGGAGGCAAATAGGAAGAAAGATTGATTAGGGTGACACACTTTTTATGTTTAACATCTGTGTTGCTTGAAGAAATTGGGAAGGTACAAGAGGCTCGTTCCACATTTCTCGAACAAATCAAGTAATGTGTAGATGAAAATGAAAATAACTTTATGTTATGAAGAGATTGTTGTGATTAACAATTGTTAGGTCATAAACGAGATTGGAGTTTGCCATGACAATTTAAGAGATCATAATAATTTTATCATGCGTACAGAGTCAGTAAATATAATAGATATTGATGGCAAAAAAAGGTTTGTATGTTCGGATGAAGATTGGCGAAAGATTAACTTATTTGGAGCTAGAGATTTTATGGATGATACATTGTCTCGTCACGCACTTATTGCTGCTTTACTTTATATATTTCTTTTACAAGATTATAAATGATGATTTTGATTAGCCCTGGGCACGGTTCGGGTCGGGTCAAAATTTGGCCGACCCGCGGGCCAAACCGAAGGAGAGCTCGGTTCTCGGGTCGGGTCGGGTCTAGGAAGAAACCCGAAAATGGGCCGAACCGGAAATGGGCTTGGTTCTCGGGTCGGTTCCGTTTTTGTTCGGTTTGGGCCTGAGCCCATTTTTACCATTTTAAAAAGCCCAAATTGTATTTATTTTCAGCAAAAAAAAAAGCCCAAATCAAATTTTTTTAGCAAAACAAAGCCCAAATCAGATTCACTTTCAGCCCAAAACCTTTTTTTGTTGTCAAATTGCCAAAACCTATTCAATTCTCATGAACAAGCCCAAAACACTTTTTACTTCATTTTCAAAACCTGAAATTATGTAAATTCAACCTATAAAAATCCATAATTCCAATCTAAGTTTCTAAACTAAATAAATCTCACATTCAAAACCTGAAATTATGTAAATTTAACCTATAAAAATCCATCATTCCAATCTAAGTTTTTAAACTAAATAAATCTCACACACACATTCAACCAACCAACCAAGGAAAAGAAATATAATTTCTTACAAACCATTACAAAAAATAATACAAAAACCAAATTAAACTTATGAAATTAAATATTACAACCCATCACAAAAATACACATGAAGATAATGTCCTTGCAAAAAATCTGCTGCATCCATTCTTCCAAAAGCATTAACAAAGTAATCTGCACAACACTTAAAAGAATTAACACAAAATTTCACCATCAACAAATCATAATTAACATAAGATGCAAGAAAACTACCTTCCAACATATCTTAATCACACTAAGAAGGGAGAGTCTTATTCAAATTTGTCGTGGATGTTTTACTCCCCATTTCTACAAAATATAATAAAATAAATCAAACCAATTTGAGTTAGAACACATAAAAATAAGAACAAAATCAGATTCAAATATACTTATATAAATGAAAATATTACCCATTTCAATTGATTCATAGAACTCCATCTCCTCAATGCTTGGCACATATTGCAATGAAGATATATCTTCGGACCTTATCCAATTTTGAGAGCAAATCAAAGCCTCAACCATCCTAGGAGACAATGAGCTTCGAAACGAGTCAATCACTCTCCCACTTGTGCTAAAACAAGACTCCGAAGCTATTGTGGAAGTAGGGATTGCAAGCACATCCTTTGCAATTGATGCCAAAGTAGGATACTTGAGCCCATTTATTCTCCACCACCCTAGTATATCAAACTCCTCATCAATGGATTCAAGTGGATCCAACAAGTACCTATCCACTTCATGTGTTATAACCACATTCTCACTCTCTTGTTGAATTTTTTTCCACTTTTCCATCATGGTTTTTCGCTTACGACCTCCAAAAACCAAAGAAGAGTCGGTTTCATTGTTAGTACTACCACCACTCTCATTGGTAGTACTAGTAGCACCCATATTGTTACTACAAGGCTTATACACTTCATACATATTCATAAGAAGTTGTTTAACCTCATTTGTCTTTTGAGCCACCAATCTATCACAAATAGGGTCATTTTCAAATATTTCTTCAAAGATGTGCTTCAAATTGCGAAGCTTGAATCGGGGGTCAATCACAACTCCTATCATCAAGAATGGGTTCACTTTATGAAGTTCACCCCAATATTTATCATATTTCTTCTTCATTGATGCTGCCATATCATTTAAAAGAGTATCCATGGCTGTCCGTTCTTCAATAGGAATTGTAGCATCATATCTATACAACTCCCGAATCTCCCCATCTATGGCAAGCAAGTCATGGAAGGTTGAGTGTGATG